CATGTTAAAGAGAGAATGTTGGGTCCTTTATGCATTTGTCATTGAAATTTGAGGTGCTGAGTTAATCAAACATAAACATGATCGAAACATCCAAGATATTACCAAACACTCTTGCAGAAATCGATTGGAGAATTTCACAATATTTATCTTAATCTGTTTCCTAGACGAATGTAGGATGTCTTATTTTTATACGCAAAATGTCAAGCTATTCAGACCAAAACAAGATGTCACCTATCTCGTTTTTAAGGTGTTCTCCTTTGATGTTTCAGAAGATAATTTTAATTAATTACATTGTCAAAATAAGAATCTTTGTCGAAACAATTTTAACAAAAAAAATAAGAGGAAAATGACAAATTAAGCGCCCACATATGTGATTATCAAAATTAAAAAAGACAAGTTGACTATAATTGGTCATCAGGCTGTTAGATCTGACCCAGCTCATGGGCTCGATCAGTAATCCTCAAAATCCGATGTTATTACTTGCTCTGCAGTATGTCAATTGTCATGCACCAAATCTTTACTTAATTATCAATAGACGACGGCTAGAGCGAATGTGCTTCCCGTGCTATAGTCGATTTTGAAATCTCTAATTATATAGTTTAGATTAGATTAAAATAGAATATTATTTATAAAGGTCAAGTGGAAATATCTCGATTATTCACAAAAGCTTGGCTCACTTTCACTGTACAACCTGAGACAACGAACTGAACTATAATTAGTTTTGGTTTGATTCGATTATATTACTAGTTTGAGATTTAAACCGAATCAAACGAAATCACGACGTGAAATTGGGTTAGTGTCCGATTTTAAGGTGGAATGACAAACCGGACTCCCACCCCTTGTTTCGCATTGCTCCATTAATTATGTCCATAATCACACTTTAGCCAGCAGAGGCAAAGGTTTATAAGGCCCACTGTACCAACTAAAAGCGTGAATTAATTAAAATTAGTTAACCACAAGAACTTCCAATTGAATTTCTTGAAGCTTTCTGAACTTGATGAAAGAGTGATATATATCATCTCTCTGCCGTCTCAGCGGAATCTTTCTAAAGCAGCTTTCCGCAAAATTAAAGCGTACAGCTATGTCGTCTTGGACAATTATTAGTGAATGATTCATATGAATACTAATGGAGAGTAAGCTCCCCTTAAAAAGGTAGGTATAACAGCCTGGTGAAGAACATAGCTGCCTTGGAAATGAAAGATCGATGTCTTTTCCTAGCAATTGTGTTTCCAGAGAGTTCGTAATTATTCACGTGGCATGGGGTTGCTTTGCTTCAAATCTCATGAAATATGTCAATGCTGTGACTTTCATTCCTTTTCTTTTTGAACTTTTGGACGGAGAGCGTATTACTTAATGGTAAAAGAAGGGTAATTAGTCTTCATAAAGTTGATCAGACGGGTAGCTTAACTTTAAGCAAAACCATTTGGATCTGAAATCTTCTTTTCTCATTGCTGATTAATTATATGGATGGCAAAGTTCATTTCTCCATTATGAACTAGCCACAGACCAAACAGCTCGTATTTTAGGGCTACGTGTCATTGTGTCATTTGTCTTTTCTTTTGGCATCGATCTCCTTTCGTACTGCATGCATCTTTGTGAGAAATATATATATATATATATATCTATATCTATATCAGATTGCAAACTAATCCCAAATCATAGTCTATAGCGACATATCAAACTTTCATGCGATAAGTAGTCAATAATGTATATCAAATTAGAACCCTTCCTCATGTGTAGTCTTACATGTGGAGAGATATATAGATGCATACGTAATGCCTAAATTTGCTTGAAATAATTAAAAATATGTGAGAGACAGCGTTGCAGTCAAAATCAAGATTTACGTACTGAATTAAGAAGACAATCACTAAACTCCAAAAACATATAAGTTTATAACGAATAATAAGTCATCAATTTATATCAAACTACACAATGTAGCTAGAATCTACTTAATTTATAATTTAGATTTCAACTGACAAGATAAGATACTTGTACTACTAAAAGACTGTGTGGTATGTGAACATTATTATCCATATGCGGCCTAGCAAGCCTTTAATTCTCCATTGTACAATGAAATTAAACTCCGCATGTTTCGATTTTGTAAGGAAGAAAGAGATCAATCATTTTTAGAAGGCAAATGTGGGACTGACACATTTCATGACAATGCCATTTCAACTTATTAGGACAAACAGATAACAAGGGGACAGCACCAAAATTGATTCTCATGCTTATTTGTGAAATGTCGCATGCAGTAATTTTTCATTTTTAAAAAAAAATAATTTATACAAGCGATATTAGGGGCTGAAATCGAACCTAATTAAGATTATGAGTAAATGCTCTTCAACACTTAAATTACAAGCACCTTATCAATATCGAAGCTTTAAATAAAAGGTGAGTGGACATGCGGAAGTTGTAGATGGCGAATAATTAACTTTTTGAAACATAATTCATCAACAAAATCTAGAAAACAATAAAACTGCATATGAAACATGATCCGACCTCTTTAGGAATAGAAGAATCCTTGTTTGGGGCCAGCCAAATTTTCTTTCCAATTTCAATTCATGCTTTTTTCTTTTTCATCCTTTTTCATCATCATGTCATTTCATTCAATAATTTAACTCCAAATTATTTATGTGTGCGTGGGTGTATTGCATTGGACATAAGATTATATTATATATATATATGATCACTCTGATTAATTAGCTGCACTGCACGCATATTAATCGCTAGTTAAATCCACTCTAACCACGCTGCAATGCAGCTGAATATCGAGGACTACACATATGCATTATTTAATCTCTAGTTATTGATAACATGATGATATGGTCGATCTCAAATAGTTGTCTTGTTAAAGTTGCGCTGCTTTTGTTGAAAGGTTATGCATGTCTCCATTCAGTCGTCCCACTACAAACGCAAAATACATTTAATCAATTTACTTATATAAGTCACGTGTATTAAATGAAAATTAAACTTAATTATATGTGGAAAGGAGAATTTAAGCATTCTATATTGTGGGATTGGGGAGGGGTACTTCTAATTAGTATTTTTCTTTTTTATTATTAGGGGAGCATGAATTTAGAAAAGTCTGAAAAACTCTGCTACGGAGCTATCGAGAAGGGACAAAATTACAGTAAGTAAATTCATAATTTAGAGTGTGATCAGATAACCAGAAATCAAACAACGACATAGTGGCTATAGATTAATCGACGTCTGAGATCGAAGGAATTAGTCACAAAGTGAATTTGTAGCCCAACTTTAACGAGCATTTTTGTGGACTAGCCCGCTTCTCCTTTGAATCTCTTCCAATATTGAAAAAGATACATATCACTATATTAATATCTAGTTGCTACTTCTAATTATTAGTTATGGCTGCAATATTTTTCTTAATAGAAAATTTCTAAGACAATGCATGATTCCCGCTATTGAAAACCTAAGATTTCTCTTCCAGTTTGCTCTTCATAATGGTGACTCTTGTACTTGTTTGAAGAACCATTTGATATTATTCAAGATGTTTTGCTTGAGGATTATATCTTAAGAGGGCATAATCGAATCTAAAACCTCATATGCAAAATAAATACTCTTAATCACTTGAGCTACAACAAACATATTGCAATATATTGCTTCTTTTGAACAACAAAGAAAGAGGTTATATAGTGTGCTTCTAACTTTTGACCCTAATAATGAATTGAGTTGAAATGGAATTTCCCCCGCTTAACCCATTTTCTCAATTGGGTCAGTATTTAATGTTTATTTTCTCCAAAAACATTTCACGGGCTGAGAGCAACTCCACCGCAGCCAAAGAACCGGGCAAAAGGCCCCCCGACTTGGCCCAAACCACCTCCAGCGCGCGACATCCAGCCCGGGAAACTGCTAGGTCCCACCAGCCCGGGCATGCCCAAGGGCAAGTTCCGCCTGGGCTTCAGCCCGAGTTTTGTGACGTCAGCGCACGGAAATTCAATTATTTTTTTACCGTTGTGCCACGTGTCGCGACAGGAACGCTCCGATCTTTTTTTTTTCTTCAGAAATCCGACGGTCCTCGTTTTTTTGGCTTAAAAAATTGCAAAAAAATTCTGAATTTTTTCTTAAAAAATACCAAAAAATTTTGTATTTTTTCCCTATAAAATACCTAACCATTTTATTTACTTTCCACACCAAATCTTCATACAATTCTTCTACATCCAATATTTTTTATCCAAAAATTTAATTACAAAAGATTATCAAAATTAATGGTTTACAGTATAAAAAAACAGAAAATAAAGTACAATGAATAGTATTTGCCTTAGACTTGCCCTAGACTTTACCCTCATGGGTAGAACCATAAATGGCAAGGCTGACACTATTCATGTGAATAGTGGCAACCCTTGCTTGCCCTTGCCTTAGACTTGGTTCTTATGGGTGGAAGTGATCTGAAGAGTTCTAATTATGGACTTAGTCAATTGTTCCTAAATTTGAGGCAGTCATGAAATTAAAGCCCATATAACTATGGGTCGCACCTTCAATGTTTTTCTAAGGAAGGCTATTGATCTGGGCTTCAAAAGACAAAACACGTAAAGTTTAGCATATAATTCCTAAGCTTAATTCTGATAAAACTATTCTTAAGCTTGAATCAAACTAATTAAGCTTTTTATAAGCTTAATTCTGATAAAACTATTCTTAAGTTTGAATCAAACTAATTAAGCTTTTTATAAAATAAAATATAAAGATCATCAACTTCTAGTGGGGTTCAAGTCAGAAAACTAGAAGAAGGAAATTAAGCCCAGCCCAATAAGCATCTAACCCCACAGTCTGAAGGAACAATCTTCATAAACAAAAGTCTGAAGAACAAGATTGCCAATCGGGTTGGAAAAGGGAGGGCCTAGACTTTCAGACTAGTTATCTCAATCTCATGCTCGAATCTTCATGGCACTTGACAGTGTATGTGTGTGAGAAAACTCGTGTTCCTTATAGTTTAGATTATCGTTTGTATTAAAAAAACTTATGAAGATCAAGATTTATCTATGCTAGGAAGGGTGAAAATCTTCATTAACAACTTCATAATCCATGCATACAAGAGAAATAAGACTATATATGAGCAGCACAATCTAATTCTTACAACACTGGAACCAAAACCAGAAACAGAAAATTGAACACTGTAATTCCATATATTTCCCTCTAAATGTCTAGCAATATTCCATCTTTCTTAGACGAAGCATTTCTACTACTACTTGAGAGACTCCACTGGTCAGAAAATCCCAAACCAGAGGCAGAGCCACCATTCCCACACTTAGCCACAGTCCTCACACTCTCAATCAACTCCTGGGTTCTTCCCTCCTGAGCCAAAATCTCCAGCAGCTGCTCAGGGCTGATCACAAGCTTCACCTTCCAAAAGCTGACATTGTTGTACCTTGAAAAAGCTTCTGTGTAAGACCTCTTCATCATGCCTTGATAATCAAGCGACATTCTGTATGGTGCAGAAAGGGGGCAAGTAGGTATGCTGTTTGATCTCACATGGCCTTCCCTCACAATTTGGGCACTGCCCAAGTGACCACTTTGGCTGGTGAGTGGGAGGAGATAGTAGTTTTGTCTTGCCACAAGATCTTCATGGTGAGATAGTGGCTTCCAGAAGAGGTCATGGCTTCTGAAAATTCCATGGTTTGGAAATTCTTTGGTGATTGAGCCTACTGTGATTGGCGCATAGAATTCCATTATGCCACCATTGGAAGTCGTCACTTGGACCAACCCTTCTGCCTCCCCAACACCCCCAAACAAGCAATTTCCCATTTATTGAAATTTGCTTTTTCTGATCCAACTTTCTTCTTCTTCTTCTTCTTCTTCTTGTTAAAGGGAGGTTGTGGCTTATGGGTTGTTTGGAGGGTATAAAAGAGAGGGGAAGTTATGGAGGGATAGAGGTATTATGCGTCGGTGGGATTCTTCTTGGGGCTTTCCTAAACCAAAGGATATTAAAAATAAAAGAAACAAAGGGATATACAAAAAGGAAAGTAATGTGGCAACCGAAGCCTACTATTCTCGCCAGAAGGTGATATAACATGCATGAATTTATAATAGGATATTGCTTCCCTTCTTCTCGTGATCAAATCACGATTTGACGCGTTTATGAAAATAATTTATTAAGAATACAAAGAGAAAAACTTCTACATACATGTCATACTCATTGAAAAGAACATAAGAATTCATACTTACAAAAAAAGTATTATTCATAATATATGGTATAGTGAAGTGGTCCATGTAGGACATGGTTAGAAATAGTTGGTACTTTGGGGCCATCTATGAAGCATTCTTGATTTTTGGTCAATGGACCCAATAACCATCTTTTTTTCACTTTCTCTTTATCAAAATTTAACACAAGCCATATGGGAAAGAAATTAAAGAACCCTATGGCTAGGATCTTCATCATTCACTCATTGGTTAAAGTAAAAGTGGTAATTTGACCAGTCATATGTGATGTGCCTTTAAAAATAAGGGTCACCACCAACCATTCTTTTTGTTCCCTAGTAGCCTCAAGAAGACAGGAAAAAAAATAAAAGGTAACAAAAACAAGTGGGAAACTACGGAAATCCAGGGCAGACAAATTGGTCTGCACTTGAATTTGCCTTTCCATCTATGGAATAAAACTATAATGTTATAAAAAAGTTTATGTGATTATTTTTGCAGCATCAAATTTCCTTTCAAATTTTTTTCAAGAATACCAAAAGTAAAGCATTAGATTTTTCCTCACTTCATTCGAGGATGGTTTCAAGCACTGGTTTCCCCCTTGTTCCACAGTTGTTGCCACCATTGATCACTGCCTCTCTCTGAATTCTCAAGAGCATTTCAACCACTGATATCTTCTTAGACACCAATTCTTGAAGCTTGTTTATACCAAAATGAACAGCCTATAGGAACCAGACACATGGATAAGATTGAGTGTGACCAAGGTAGTCTTCAGCACCCAACCTACCGATTCAATGATTAGGGCAACCTCCTTCTCCAGGACACGTGGCAGGCCCACAATCGATGTCTACAGTCCCACATCGAAATTCTACACAACTTGCACACCCCCCAATGTCTATAAAGGAAGCACAATTCCCCAAAAAGGAGGTAATCAGAACTTACGGCATACTGTCTATTGATCTGTCAATTTAAACTTACTAAATCCGTACTTACTCAAGCATCGGAGAGCCTTCGGCCGGTACCACACCGGTGCCCTTAGGTCTTATCGAGCGTTCGTTATCTTGCAGATCACAAGCTCCACCGAAGCCCAAAGCATACCGAAGGCCCAACATCACTAAGTTGAGAGGAAAAAGTGCCGAACCATTTTTACGCATAAACAAAGCTCTTGCTTTGTTATAATCAATTTAACTCTCTTTCCACAACTTGCACCATCCATGTCCTTTGATATATCTTCAAGAATCATAGGCCTTGTGTGCTCTAAAATCTTGTCCTGGTTCTTCACAATGTGCAAGAAACTCTCATTCTTGGTCACAACCCTTGGAGCCTGAGACTTGTTTTTGAGTCTACAAAGTGGTAAGCAATTGCCCATGTGGTGGGTGTTCAAGGAATCGAATGGATGGGATGCAAATTAATAAAGGAAGAAGAGGGAAAAAGACGTTTGGATTTTGGGAAGGTGGTGGGAAGTTTTAAAGGAACAAGTGAGCTATACATAGACGTTGAGTAGATCAAAGGTGTGTTTGTTATAAGTTGTGAGTGGACAACTACTACCTCTCTGTTACAAAAGGGTGCAGAAATTAATTTCCATGGTGGATTGAGAAATGAAATTAAATTTGAGAAGTAGTTCGGGATAGTTCAAAATTGCGAACATACAAGTAATGATATAATTCTTCTATTCTTTTTTGTTACTAACGTAAGTTGAAGATTCGAAATCACTACCT